AGTTAAGGGCTGGAAAGAGAGCAAGCATAGTAATAAAATGTGGGGTTTTATATTTTAAGATATTGTTTACATTTTGCTGAACATTTAAATTCTTCTAGAAAGATCTTGCAGCTTCTAAAACTTACCCTTTTCTTCCCAGCGTTCTGATACTCCGAACCCAAATGTGTCTTTCCACTCCGTCTGATGATTTAATTGATGTATGTTTTCTCTTCCATTCAAATAAAATAATTAGTATTTTGGTTAAGTAGTTATCTTAAAAATACAACATCAAGAATCCATTTTACTCTCAACCCACCCCATTTCTCTTACGATGAAAGAAAGATTAAATTTATACTAAGACAGCTCAGAAATGTATTGGGTGTTGATGCCATTTTGGAGCTTAGAGAATGATGAAATTACCAACTGAATAGAGCTGCACCATGAGAAAGCAGTCGTAATTCAGACGTTTAAACAAGAAAAATCCTATTTTGGGAAGAGGAAAGAAAGGAGGCTGAATCCATGGGCTTTTGAACCAACCAGCTGCTTGATGCAGCAAAAATAATTTTGTCTTTTGAAATCACTTTTTGGGGGAGTGCTTTGGCTGTATACTCAGGAAAAGATGGTTAGATTAGGTCTTTCCTTTGCGAAAAATAAACAAAACACCTTTTAGCCCTAATCCTGCTCTCCCCATAGTTCTTTTACTGCCTTCCACAACCAAGTGAGCTGTTCCCAAGAACGCTGCTCTTATTTTTCTCTTCAATATTCTGACTTCTGCACCGCTCCTTTTCAGAGTTACCAAGAACCACCTGATCCGGAGACTCTTTGGCTCTTTGACTCCATTTAGCCCTTACTTTTATTCCTGGCAGCCTTATAAGCATTTGTTAGTATTGACCGTGCTCCTCTTCTGTCCTCCTTGGGGCCATTGTCCTTGACTGTTCTTACTTTCTCCATCTATTCCTTAAAATGTTAGTGGTCCCTACGCTCTGTCCTCCACCTTTTTCTATTCACAGTTTATCTAGGTAGTCATGTCCATTGCCGTAGCTTTAACTGTAATGTCTGTCAAATATTTATCTTACATTTCCCTGGTAACTTCCAGGTTCATATTGCAAGAGCTCGTTAACAAATCTCTAGCCGGACGTTCTCCAGGCTGCTCGGCTCTAATGCCTTCTCTTCCTGCCTTAGCACATGACACAACATCCTCCCAGTTGCATGAGCCAAAAACTGGTTATTATCTTTGTCCTCGCCCTCTCCTCTTTGTTGCCATTAATTACCAAGTTCAGTCTATTCTGACTTTTAAAAGTCTGCTGCTGTTGGAGTAGCCGTTGATGACAGACCCTTTTTATATATCATCTCCTAAATTCCATTAAATCTAAATTTTTTCTTCTTTTTTATTCCCACAGTCATTTTTATACTTAGGTGTTCAATAAATATTTGATCATGCGTTGTAGTAGAACCTCCATAGTTGGCCACTTCCCTGCATTGACCACCTCCTTAAGTTGATCTGATTGTCATAGACTGGACGTGCACCACGTGTGTGTATCAGTACAACAGGCCTGGTTCCTTCTGTTGACCACCTCCATGTGTTGACCAGTTCACTTACAGAAGTTCTACCTTATTTTCATGCCTAAATAGCCAGAAACCTGGGACTCTGGCTGGCCTCCTCTCGGGTGGTCAGCAGGTCCTATTACTTCAACTCCTTGTCTCTCTTTTCCATCTTACTACCACTGCCTCGTCTCAGCCTTCATCAATTCTTGTCCAGTCTCTTCGTGTTTTTCTTATGTGCCTGCCTTCATTCTCACTCCACTCCATCTATTCCATCCTGCTGCCCATAGCTTTCTCACATATAAATTTAGTCACGTCACAGTCCACCTTAATCAGTCCCGTCATCATCAAGATAAATATCAAACTCCTTAACACGGCTCTCCAGGAATGGTGTAATTCGATGCTTCTTCATAAAATTCATCTCTCTTTGGATACGACTTGTAGTGCTACCAAAGTATTTGTGATTACCGAAAATGCCAGGCATTTTTAACTCCTCAGTGCCCTTTGATCTATTGAGAATGACGTCCCTCTTCCTAATCCCAACTCATGTTTTAAGACTGCTCAAACATCGCTGCTTTAAAAGGCCTTCCTGATAGCTACTCTTTCCAGGCAATTGATGGCATTCTTCTGCACCCCCCCAAGCCTGTAGTTTTCTTCACCTTATCATTTATCTCCCTTTCTTCCTGTCTAGACTATGAACTCCTTGAGATCAAGAACTATATTATTTCTGATTTGTATTTCTGCATGAGGTTGGAGAGAAGAGGAAGAAAAGGGAAAAAGGAAAGGTTAAGAAAGGAAATGAGTGAATGAATTGATACATTAGATAGTACATAACATTGCTAGGTATTTTAGTCTTGCTTTTATTACCTGTATCTGTATTAATCTGCCCTGTTTAAAAAAAAAAAAAAAAGCTGACTAATAGTACCAGTGGTATGGGCTTAAAATTACTGAAAGTCCAGGAGTGGTGGAGCGTGCCAGGAGCCCCAGCTACTCAGGAGGCCTCAGTGAGGGAATCACTTGAGCACAGGAGTTCCAGTGCAACCTGGGCAGCATAGCAACCCCATTTCTAATTTAAAAAATATATATTAGAAGTAACCCAGAAGATAAATTGCCACATCTGTTTGCTCTCCAAAAGAAAGGACTGTACTTAATGTATTAATTGCTTTAAAGTGCTAACTAAAATACTAAATCAACTTCCACGTTGACAGAGAGATATATTTTATGTTGATCTTTTATCTTTATTAACTGTTAATATATCCTTTTTTAAACAGATTTACCGGGTATCAAATGGACCATTTCAGCTATTCTATAGTCCCTCAATTCTCCAAATTCCTCTGTAGACGAAATACAGATCCAACTGTGGTGTACTTGGAGCAGTGGTTCTCAACCTGTGGGTCGTGACCCACAGGAACCGTATTAAAGGGTTGCAGCATTAGGAAGGTTGAGAACCTTTGACTTAGAGAATTATGGTGTAGTTACAGGATTGTGGTATACTTTTAGAATTCATCCTTATACAGTGCCATTCAGTTCTCATGCTATTTTAATAAAATTTCTATTAAACAAAAAATACTTCTTTTGTAGAAGATCCCTAGGTAATACTGTTCTAGTGCATTTTTACAGATATAATTCAAAAATACTCTTATCCATGGAACAGGTACTTGGTGATAAAATCTTGTGCCCATTTAACTGATGATTACTCCATAGCTATGGAGTAACTGAAGTACATCTCACATCTTAGTTTTATGTTCTGTTTTCAGACACTTCAACTATTTGCATATTTAAAGTATTCTCACCTCTTCCACCTCAGGCATTTTATCCAGGTCCTTCAAAGGAAAACCTCAAAAATTCACCAAACTTTAAAACCACCAGTCAATATATATGCAAAAAATATGCTGGAAAAAAGGGGCGAGGGTAATTCACAATTTTTCATCGAGAGGCTCATCATCTGTCTTCGATTCTGAATGCACAACAATTATTTTTATTTGAGTGAAACAGTTTCCATAGATTGCCAGGCTCATTACAGTGGGATTTTTATTACAAAGTTGATACAGTGTTACTAAGGTTAAATGGTATACGTCTTTTGATACATTCTAAGCCTATTTGCTGTCTACCATACCTCTCTGTGGCTGTGTGTTTTGGCATAACAGAAACATAATAAAAGAAATTAAGGCTGAGAACAGTAGCCCATGCCTGTAATCCCCACAAAAGCCAGGAGTTCAAGACCACTCTGGGCAACATAATGAGAAACTGTCTCTAAAAATAATAATAATAACAATAACAATAAATTATCTGGATATAGTGGCACATGCTTGTTGTAGTCCTAGCTGCTCAGGAAGCTCAGGCAGGAGGATGGCTTGAATCCTAGGAGTTAAAAGGTTATATAGTAAGCCACTATACTCCAGCCTGTGTGAGACCTCCATCTCTTAAAAAAATTTTCTTTTAATTAACAACAGCAACAAAAAAGGAATTGCAAGTAAAATTTTGGGACATCTTAGTTTACAATTTGGGGTTTTAAAAATTCGTTCTTGCTCTACTCCTGTATATAATTGATAGCACTAGACAGGGGTTCTCAACCTGTGGGTCGCGACCCCTTTGTAACAGTGAAAGTACATCGTGGCATTAGGAAGCTTGAGACCCACTGCACTAGAACCACTTGCCGGGAACATTCCTAATTCATGTCTTGCTAATAAGATAGTTCTTTAGAAACCTTAATTTTACAAGAAATGCAGACAAAGTGGAAAAGAAAAGAGGATTCTTTCTTGACAAGGTCAGTTAATATTGAAAAAACTAGAAATATTTTGTAACTATCAGAAATTCAACTACCCTTAACATTTCTGGTTGTGTTTTACTGGTCAGTTACTTGAAATAAATGTGAATAATGCCACCTAAGATATTTTTTTGTCGTAGTTCACGGATACAGGTTGCACAAGGCACTGTGATAGTGAAGTTAGCATTCCTGATACTCGGATCAAGGACAAGGAAAAGCAGGCACTTTCTTAGATTTTAAGCAAATCTGGATTGCCCACTTGAAATGGCAAAAATCTAATACTGGATTTCGCTTTGGGGAAAAGTGGGTCAGAATATAATAACAGAAGTGATCACGTGTGATAGGGAAACACTGAACACGCAGTGGCTTTTTGTATTGGACTGCAGGGTAAGTACATCTGATAGTACCATCAGGCTTTTTAAAAGAAGAAAACATACAATGTTTTTAATGATTAAAATATTTTTAAAATAATCAGCATTTTTATGTTTGGGATTTAGTTAAATACCTGTTAGTTTAATGTCATATTTTATTTTGGGCTGCTCTGTACTTGCTGAGATGCTCACTCGCTGTTGAAGAAGCCACCCAGACTGAAGCTGTGTTCGTTGAAAGGGAACCGCCACCTTTCTGATTCCATACCTTAAATTTGCTCGTTGATGAGTTCCTTTCTGTCAGTTTTGTATCCAGCGTTTCACTCTGTTTTCTTTATTTACAGAGCTTCCCTATGGCTGGGAGAAGATCGAGGACCCTCAGTATGGGACATACTATGTTGAGTAAGTTGGTAGCTCAGTTAATATTCTCCAGAATATTTTCCTTTTCACATACAGCTTTAGGGTATACTGGGTATATTGGCCAGCATTTCTGATGATTAAAAATATATATTTTTAAGGGAAATACTGGTACAGCACTGTATGCTTCTGTGATCCAGTTTTCAACAAGGGGGATAAGAAGGTGGGGGCAGTGAGCATTTACTTTGCTGACCTTGGGCTTCCCAGAAGTTGACTTTGAATTTCTAAATATAGAGAGTGAGAGGGAAGTTGCCTAGAGGACTAACAGCTAGAGATGCTATCCTTACTACTACAACCTTTTCAGAGAAAGGCTGTAGGAAACTGAAATGAGGGCACTGGACGAGATGAATTATTGAGGTCACTGCCGACACTCCCACTGTGTGCCTCTGAAAGCTGAAGGGCTTTAAGTCCAGTGTGACACAATGATACAGTGTTTGGAAGTATAGAGTTAGAGGTGTGCTCTCTTGAGGACTCAGTCAAGGAAAACGTTGTATTCTTTTTGGGGAGTGGAAAGTGCTGCTTTTGCCGTGTTGTGGTTCAACGATATCAATATGCGTGTACTGGGGAGAGGAACATAGAACACCTGCCCATGTCAGCCAGAGAAACAGGGCTAATGGCAGCCTCTGACATGTCTTTCCCTTTTGTTTTTAAGTTTCAAAATATTACGAGGACATAAGGGGGGTACAAAATGTTTTGGTTACATTTTGTACAATGGAGTCAAAGTTATGAATATGCCCATCACCCAGATGCTGTGCATTGTTTTTGCAAGGTGTGAATTTGCTCAGTTTATCTCACTGTTACCGCCATGGGGTTGCTTTCTATCCAGATGCTACAGTTAGCATTTTGATCTCAGGGGTCTACCCACCAGGCAAATAGTTTTATCAGAAACGTTACTATTTACCTGGAAACTAGGGGTCTGAACCTTCTGCCTAGGTCACAAAGGCAAAATGATATTATTATCTGGAAAAATATCAAACACAAGAGTTTTTTGGTTTTTGTTTTTTTGCTGTTTTGGCCAGGGGCTTGAACCCACCACCTCCGGTATATGGGGCCAGCACCCTACTCCTTGAGCCACAGGTGCCACCCAAACACAAGAATTTTCTAGTTTTATGATTGCTTATTAATTTTTCATCACTTGTAAACATATACCAATACCATTTCCTGGTACTTATCCCTAAAGCAAGTATCTCTAAATCTTGTTACAGCCTCATCTGTATTCTAATGTGTAGGTCGTTACTTGAGTCACTGTGGTTAGACAGATTTTTGGAGTGACTTCCTAAAAATCCAACATGTACCCTAAAGAAATGACTCAATGGGATTGACCCTTAGGTGTGTAACTTCAGAGTTTCAACATTTTGGGTCCTTTGACAGGCTGTGCTAATTTTATTTTTCATTGCGTTATTTAATGTCTTACTAATGCTATGATGTATTACAGCAGCCATTTTGTTATTTTTTCCCCATATGGCATATTTATTTAGGTAAATACATTTTTCAAGTCCAAGGAATATTTTGAGGCCAACTGAGAAGGTTTTGTGAGATTTTTATTTTTTTCTGGTAAAAGTTTAGTCCATTTAAATTGGCCTTCCATCATCATTTGCCATTGACACTGCTGAACATTTCTGAGATAATGATTCTCATTCTCTTTATTGTCCATTCCAAGTGAATTTGAATACGGGGTCAAAAGGTGAAAGTCATTTGCCTGTTATAAACTCTTGAGCTGAATGATCTGGTTCCCATTATGCAAGGATATGATATCAAAGTAACTCTAGGGCAAATCCCGAAGTGACCTGTTCCCAGTTGTCGTGAAGGTGCCTGAAATAGCCGGAATTAGAAAGCAGAACAGCAGCAGCAACTTGATGTTGTGTGATTGTTCCCAGAAAGCGGTCATTTTACAGGAGGGTAATTTATTAGATTAAGAAAGAGCAGACTGTACTCACAATGTGCTTTAGTATGGAGTCAGCTGAGCCGTGGAGTATGGCTGGATTCCCAGATTAGTTAGGTTTTAAATCTCGACCACAGTAATCTGCAGTGAGTTTACTGATGAGATAAAAAGCTGTGACTTGAATGGCTACTCTTTGGCTCTCTGAGTTTGTCAAACCAGATGGCACAATGATTGCTCTTGGCAGGAGTCTTGTAATAGTAACACCAACTGCAACGGCAGTTGTTCTTCCTGAGTGTTTCAGAGGATGAGATTCTGAGATGTTAACTTATTTTTGAAAATAAAATTCTTCCAAAAGTTTAACGACAGGCCTTTTATACAAAATGCTTATATATATAGAAATGTTGTCTTCATTCTATTGCATGAAATCTCTTTTTTCTAATTGACATATAATGATTGTATTAATATATGCTTTTGAGATATAGTGGTGTTTCTGTATACACATATAATATGTAGCAATCAGATCAGGGGAGTTAGAATCAAATGTCTTGATGCCCTTGGGCGACTAAGTGAAAATATACATCTGCTTTTACATCTCAAACTCTTTATGAAAGAATAACCTTTTTTAGTTGCAATAAATTTTTTTAATTAAATCATAGCTGTGTACATTAATACAATCATGGGATGCAATGTATTGGTTTTATATACAATTTGAAATATTTTCATCAAACTGGTTAACATAGCCTTCATGGCATTTTCTTAGTTATTGTGTTAAGATATTTATATTCTACACTTAGTAAATTTCACATGTACCCTTGTAAGATGCACGGTAAGTGTGGTCCCTCTGATTACCCTCCCATCCTCCCCCCTCACCTCCCCTTCCTCTCCCCTCTCCCCTTCTTTGTGGGCTATAATTGGGTTATAGCTTTCATGTGAAAGCTATAAATTGGTTTCATAGTAGGACTAAGTACATTGGATACTTTTTCTTCCATTCTGAAATACTTTGCTAAGAACAATATATTCCAGCTCCATCCATGCAAACATGAAAGAGGTAAAGTCTCCATCTTTCTTTAAGGCTGCATAATATTCCAAGGACACCCCCCCCCCAGGCAATTGAAGCAACACCAAAAATGCATTACTGGGACCTGATCAAACTAAATAGTTGCAATAAATTTTTAAACCAGATATTAGACATAAAATTTCAATACAGATGATATTCCAAATCATATATATGATCATGCTTATTTGCTACCTTGTTTAATTTTTCTGATACAGGCAGGGTTACCTGGGTTACCCTATCCCTGGGTTACCACCAAGATAGGCTCTACTGGTTTGTTCTTAAGTTGAATTTGTATGTAAGTTGGAACAGGTACACTTCCTATTACCTCTAATAGCCAACACTCATAAATGCAAATTACATATCAGTCAAATGTTTGTAACTCCGGGACTGCTTGTAATCTATAATAGTCTTCTCTCTTATTTCCCTTAGCTATATAGAAAACAAAATCCATTACATCTTAATAATATTATGGGGATAAGTACATGAAAAAGAAAGTATTTTTACTTTTTCATTCTGTTTTGTTTCTTTGAGTGGCATTTTAATCTAGATAGTCTAAGGTAATAGATGGAATTATTCCCCTCACTAAATCTTATTGTTTTGTTAAAGACAAATATAAATTCTTTTGTTAAAGAATTTTCAGGAAAGGGATTACTCATCTGTATACTTCTATCCTCCTCTCCCACACATAACAAAGGGCATAAATACAAATTGCTACTTTTTATATTCTAATGCCTGGGTGACAAAGTGAGTCATTGGAGCTCCGGTGAAAGGGAGCCCAAGTTCTTTTCTAAACGGGTTTATTCTTTCCTGTATGTCAGGTTTTTAGTTTTTGTTTTAAATATGTAAAATATCAATACCTAATAAAATTGTTTAGGTACCTAAAAATTTCGTTTTCACAGAGAGTTAAACAGTTAACTGGTAGATAGGGTGCCCCCTCATACAGGAAACAGAAGAGCACTTGAGTGTCAGTGAAATCAGAATCCAAAGAATGTCAAGTGGAACTTGCCGCATGTAGAGCTCTGAAACCAAATCGCCGCATCTGTCGTGGAATTCATGTGCCCCGGGAGCCTAAATGACACAGAGAAAACTAACATTCCTTTCTACGTTTTTTTTTTTTTTTTAATAAAAACTATTTTTATCCCTCTGTCCCTTTTTCTACCACCATTAACATTCACAAATGGCAAAGTAAATGTCCAGTTCGTCTGACTTTCTATGATGGAGAATTGAATATTTAGCCCATCTAATGACAATCCTATTCTGAAATCCTCAAAATATAATGGATAAGTATTGGCGTTCACTACCATCACTTCTTGTTAGGGTAGATTTTACTGGAAAAGGTGTATTATTTGTTAAAATGTTTTTGTACCATGGAGTTGCTAGAATATGATGGGAATATGATTCCCTTTGTTTCTGCATTAAACCGATTCTGTGGTCTTAAATATCTGTTTGGGTTTTTTTCTCTACAAGTTTTTAACAAACTTCTACTCATATGAGTCTCAGAATAACAGTGGTCCTTTCCCTTTATAAGACATACGGCTGCCAGGGGATGTCGGATACTTTTGGCTGTCCTGCTCGCCAGTCTCCACGCTTTTCTGCTTTCCCTCATAGAGGTAGACTCTTTCTAAGAGTCAGTTGCGAACGTTGAACAAATTATGATAAAAATGTGAAGAAATTTAAGTGTGTAAAGTTACTCTGTTAAACAATTTGATAAAAAGCAAGTCACTTCCCTGGTTGCTGCTGAATTGACGTGGGTGAGTCAGTGAAAAAGTAAGAGTAATATTCTAGAAGGATTCGGTACTAAGATTGCTTTGAAAAGCTCTTGGCAGCTTGCTTCATTTTGGAGCAACTGAAATTAAAACCCTTCTAGCATTAACTACCTTTTAACAAACATGAAATGATCAATTACTAACACTTCTGATTATACCAAATAAGAGGATTTGAAGACTGTCACTGACTTCTGTATTGTGTTGGTTTTATGAAGAAGCTTACTTTGTAGGTTTCTTCTCTGGGACTTTGTTTAGTTGCCAGAAAGCCCCTCCACTAGCCTCTGTTGCTCTCTCTGTATTCTGTAGCTAAAGGATACATAGTTTTCCCTTAATATGTGGTGATACAATGGTATGATATTGTGTTTAAAAATATGTAACTCTGACATCTTATACTGAAGTGCTTCTTTTTATATATTTTATAGTCATCTTAACCAGAAAACCCAGTTTGAAAATCCAGTGGAGGAAGCCAAAAGGAAGAAGCAGTTAGGACAGTCGGAAATTGGGTCTTCAAAACCAGGTAACACTTTCCCCCCGCAATCTTTTCTTTCAGAATAACTTGTGAAGTTTGTATGGTAGGTTCTAAGAATGGGTTTGAACTTCTTACTGCTGAAGCTTTGAACTTCAACAGGGAACATCTGGTTTTTCTCACTGTAAAGATACAAGTAATCTTAATAAAACATCTGAGCATTGTGAGAATACTGAGATTTTTTTGGCCATAATTATATGAAGAACCTGAAATTGTTGGGAGAAGGGATTTGGGTGGCTTTTTTATGAGTTCGAGGCATTTTTGTAAAGATTAGAATGCTTCTTTATGTGTAGAAGCCAATGTTAGGTCTGTAGTTCTTTAGGAACTTTTCTTAAGTGGATGTGGGAGGACGAGAACAGATTCCTGGATGTTACTGTTTGAAGTTGTGCTGGTTCTTAAAGAATAAAGGCTACTGATATTGAGATATTGAGTCAAATACAGAACTGATACTTTGTATGATTATCTCATTGAAGTCTCAGAATACCTCTGCATGGTTATTAATACCATTTCCCCCATTTGGAGGCTTTGATGGTACCAAGTTAAAATTGTCTGATCCATCCGTGACTATGCTTTTCACAAGGACAGAAGCACGTGTGTGTGTGTGTGTGTGTGTGTGTGTGAGTGTGTGTGAGCCAGGGAACCTCTGTCCTTGAACAGCCTATGTGGGTTTGTGCTCATCTGCATTTATCAAGCACCCACATTTGTCAAGCACTGGTTCCTGTGCTATCTAGGTATTACCTAGTTTAATCTCTGTAACAATCCCGTCCGTTTTAGGTAATACTATCCCCATTTTATTTATGAAACAACTGAGGCTTGAAAGTTTAATCAACATACCCAAGATCTTGTGATTAAATCCCAAAGCTTAAATTTAAAACTGGGATTGGTAGACTCAGAGGCGGTTGCTTTGTACCTTTACGATTGTCACTTCTCTGTTTAATTCCAGGAAGATTTTCTCCTGACTGACTTTTAGTTGGCTTTGGTGGTTTTGTTTTTATTTTCTAAAATTAGATGTTAACCAAAACTCTCCCTTTCTCTTTGTCATTTACGCTTTTTGGTTTTATCCTCAGAAAGCAATATTATTTATTCCAGCATTCATGGGGACTAACTAAAGCATGGGATAGCTAACCAGAAATATTTCAATATTTGACATAAAAATGAAAAAGCACATTTTATCAAAGATATTATCTTGCAGTGCCTAAGTGCTCAGTCATTAAAGAAACGTTCTTGTCTATAATCTGGGAGTCAACACTAGCAGGCAGTCAAAAGCAGGCTTCTTAACTTCTTAACTGCACACATCAGTTCAGTAAATTTTGCAAAGTAATATTTTATTCAGAGGGTAGATGCTATTTTGAATGTCAGAAGCTCAACAAGAGCTCTGCAATGCACAGAGGTATCACCAGGAGTAGGCCGACTGGCCATCCTCTGGGAGACCTCACAAATGGCATTTCTGGGGTTAAGCACACTGCTGGCTGGACAAGACTTTGAGAAGCCCCAAATAACTGAGTTTTGTTTGTTTGTATCAATTGCTTTTATTTATAAAGGATCAGCACAGCTTGGGACAATGGGGAGTATATCAAATAAGCGAAACCCAACTTTTTATCCCAAACCTGACTTTGTCAGTATTTGCAGCCTGCCCCATGAGGGTGCTGTTTACACACTGCACAGTCTGCGTAACCATACAGAGCAGCCCCCGCCCATGCTCTTCTCTGACAGTCATGCATGCCACTTAGAAGACACTGCTGAGCGTGATACCAGAGCCAAGTGTGAAACAGTCACCTGGGTTAAGTCATTAGGGGAATATACAAGAAAACCAGGGAGAGATCGTATCCCACACTCACTAGAATGGCTACAACCTGAAGTCACGGTAATAGACAATAGCAAGTATTGACAGGGAGGTGGGGAAATTGAGATCCTCCTATGTTGCTGGTAGAAATGTGAATTCGTGCAGCCACTTTGGAAGAGTTAGGCCATTCATGAAAATGTTAGTCATAATTGCTGTATGTTTATAGAAATTGCTGGAATTCCACTCCCAGTCTATAGCCAAGGTGAATAAAAACGTGTCCACACAAAAACGTGTATGTAAATGTTCACAGCAACAGTATTTATAGTAGCCAAAAAGTGGGGAAATGTTCATCACCTAATGAACAGATAAATAAAATATATCTGTCCTATGGAATATTATTTGGAAATAATAGATACTTTATATTTATTCATCTACTTATTATATATATTTATTGTTATATGATTGCATTTCTATAAAGTGCCCAGATTGGGCAAATCTATAGATAGAAAATAGATTTGTGGTTGCCTAAGGCCAGGGTATGGAACATGGGTTGCAGAGAAACCTGCACCTTTGAGGGAGGCACGTGGGGGAATGTTCTAATATTCGATTATACTGTGAATTGCACAACATTAAACTCTACGCTTTTCCTGGCTGAATTCTATGGCCTGTGAACTATTTGTCCATAAATATGTTAAAAAATAAATATGGCAGAACATTTTAAACCATTTCTTTAAAAAAGATAAGTTAATGCTTTATAAGTTATAAGTCTTTATAATTTGACGCTCTCACAGTTTTCACAACTGCCCTAATGGCAGCCATGGGGGGAAGAGGAGAGAAAAGGTCTAGGGAGGGTCAGAAAGATGTTATTTCCAAGAGTGAGTCACTTTTGGTTCTAGAATCGTCTGACCTATAAAGTGGGCCTTCCGAAGGCACTGTGTTTTTCTTCTTCCCAATGGGTCCGCTAAACGTGAGGGAAAAGGAAAGAAACAGGAAGTTGCTCACTTGGTGTGCAGGGACTCCTTTCCTCTGTCAGATACAAATCAGAGGGCACAGAAAGCCTGAGTGGTGAATTATAAACGTTCTCACTGTGTCCTCTTTTATAAGTTTATGACACAAGACTTCGTCTTCCTACTACACAGAGGTCAGTAAGTGCTTATTCAAATGAAAGGTGCAGCTGAGGAAGCTTCCAGAACTCACAGAGTGGAGTCAGAGTTGAGGGAAGGAAGTACAGACCAGGCAGTGAGGAGGGGATCAAGGGGCGCCTTCACTTTTCACATCACACAGAAGGGTCCTGTGAAACATAAATGATTTATTAGCTGCGTTTTTTCCCCAGTGATCTATGAGTTTAATTCTAACAGTTCTACAACATTAGATTCTCTCTAATGGTCTCTCCTTCATGGTTCCTTATATTTAAGTTATACAGATCGTCCTGAAGACTGGCTTGAGGGCGATTTGCACTGTAATTATTTTTGTTCTCTAACTCACTTCTCATTTTGGCACAGATGCGGAAAAGTCGCATTTTACGCGAGACCCAACCCAACTGAAAGGGGTCCTTGTTCGAGCTTCGCTGAAAAAAAGCCCAATGGGATTTGGTTTTACCATTATTGGCGGAGACAGGCCTGATGAGTTTCTCCAAGTGAAAAATGTGCTGAAAGATGGTCCTGCAGCTCAGGATGGGAAAATTGCACCAGGTAGTAAATTTTTCAAAATTACTTAAAGAGTAGTGATACTCCAACAAGAGTTATAGTGAAGACATTTATATATATTTATATGTTTACATATATAAAGAAAATTAAATTCTATAACTGAAGAGTGAAGTTCTTACATTAAAATAGCTCATCCTCTAAATTTAATGCATATTAGCTTTGAAGAAGGGCCATTTTTACAACTACAAATTTATTAATACTTTGGAATGCTTCATATAATTTTGAGATAATCCTTTGACTATATAAAACCAAAGATTGATTGACCATCCTAGAAAACTATTTGGTTGTTTGACTTTCTTAGATTATGTAGAATGCTTTGAGAGCTAACATTTACCTATAATCTTGTTTGAAAAATGTTCCCGTGTGGTCTTTAGTTCTGTCACACAAATTGTTATAGCCCAGTTTTTCCCCAAGTTGTTTTGCTTCCTTAATCTTTCTGGTTATTAGTAACATTTAACCTGTAAGTTACGAATTATAAACACGAATATTACCATATATGATATACCAACTTAAACTTGAGTTGTCCTTTATCTGGTTTTCCCAAAGGCTTTGCTTGCTAGTTGCTGGATATTATAATATGGCTGGCAGTGTTGGTGGCTATAGAGCTTAAAACAGGTTCAAGATAAGTTACTGATTACAGGGGAGGTTCGAGCACTTCTTTCCAGAAGGACTTTGGTATCATGATGTGCTGCCTTCTTGCCGTGTTTGCTAGACATTGCTAATCCCATGCTAGTTCACGTACCATGGAAATAGGGGCCCACATCTGCAGGGCTGAGTTGTCATAGTACTTTTTGATGACAAATATCAAGTTATTTTTAAGTGACAGAAATAAGAAAACTTAAGATAACCAAAAGTTGTGTTTATAAAGAAAATTATTTTATTAAATGCATCTACTTTATTACTTATAAAATTAATGACCTGTAGAGACTAAAATATAATAGTAGGTTTTTTTTCTCCATTTTGACCTTTCAGACATTTGTCCGTGAAACATACCTCTTAGCTGTCAGGTATGCTACTAGGATTTTATAACAAATTACATTTTCAGATTTGCCTAAAACTGCTATTTTCTAATCTGCATAGCAATCCAGTCCTCCCATGAAAATTCTAAGAGCTCTCACCAGGGGTGGAGAAGTCAAAACTTTGTTTCTAATTAGTCTAATTTCTGTATCTTAGATTATGAAACAAATTTCCACAGACTAACAATTGTTTTTTAACACTATTCATCAGCACAAATTAAAGCATCTTTACTTGACAATAACCTTTGAAATAATCATATTCAAACAAAAGCAGGTGGATGAGACAATAGAAGCCAAATATTAAGTCAAGACTGCATTAGAAAGTGCCCAGCTGAGGAACGTTAAATGTTAATGATTCTGCGACCAAAATAGATGTACTAATGTAAAATCAGGAAAGCAAAAACAAGTTTTATAGAGATTAATTCAGCTGACTTTTCAGTGTCTTAAATAATACATCCTTTGCTTATGTTGAGTTACTTGTTTTACCTTTTGAAATCTGATTTGTAATAAATTCAAAATCTCTACAGAAAGGTTGCTGAAAGAAAATACAATCATAAGCTCACATTATTCTGATACAAAACGAGAATGAATTTTTAAGTACATTGTAATCAAGACTTCTTAAATTCAAGAAGCAAGGTGGTAGCTGGTGAAGGGCGCCTATAGTCTCAGCTATTCAGGAGGCTGAGGCAGGAGGGTCACTTGAGCATAAGAGACTGAGATTGCTGTGAGCGAGGCTGACACCGTGGCACTCTAGCCTGGACAACAGAGAGAGACTAAAAAAAGGAAGGTGTTATTTAAAGATAATCTGTTTATCAAGCAGCCAATCAGGTTATTTGCCCCTCTGCTATGTACTAAGTGCTTATTACAATGTGCCTAGCTTTGTATGGCTACTTAGGTATGATTTAGAAGGTTTACTAATGATGGTATGAATTTTCAGGGTTAATTTTAATGATACACTTGAGCGTGAAGTTAAAACCCTTTGCTGCTAAAATAACTAAGATATTAGACATTCATATACACTCTTAGAGACATGTCACAAAGGGGAGAATTGTCTGTGTTAGAAATCTATCTTTTCAGCAGTTAAAGAGCAGTAAGCGGTTTCCAGGGTTCAAATTTAGTTGTTAAATTTATTTTTGCCTTCCCTCCTGCAAAAAATCTATTTGGTGGTTTTAATATTTTTCACGATTGTGTTTTTCTAGGTGATGTTATTGTAGACATCAACGGCAACTGTGTCCTTGGTCACACCCATGCAGATGTTGTCCAGATGTTTCAGCTGGTACCTGTCAACCAGTATGTGAACCTCACTTTATGTCGTGGCTATCCACTTCCGGATGACAGTGAAGATCCTGTCGTGGACATTGTGGCTGCCACCCCTGTCATCAACGGACAGTCGTTAACCAAGGGAGAGACTTTGGGGAATACTCAGGATTTTAAGCCAGGAGCAATGGTTCTGGACCAGAATGGAAAATCAGGACACACTTTGACCGGTGATCGCCTCAATGGACTATCAGATCCAAGCGAGCAGAGAGCGTCCATGGCATCGTCAGGCAGCTCCCAGCCTGAACTTGTGACTATCCCTTTGATTAAGGGCCCGAAAGGCTTTGGCTTTGCAATTGCTGACAGCCCTACTGGACAGAAGGTGAAAATGATATTGGATAGCCAGTGGTGTCAAGGCCTTCAGAAAGGGGATGTAATTAAGGAAATTTACCATCAAAACGTGCAGAACTTATCACACCTCCAGGTGGTAGAGGTGCTAAAGCAGTTTCCAGTAGGTGCAGATGTACCGTTGCTTATCTTAAGAGGAGGTGAGTAAAAGCACAACAAGGGGAAAGCTTCAGCCTTGGAGCGTTTGTATCTGTGGATGATCCTTCCTTACGGATTAGAATGTCTTTTCCCAGTAGACGTAACTGGTAATTAGGGTGCATTTCCTTAAGGTTCTGTCCCATTGTTTCCATAATTCAGTAGTTTCTTGAGTTATTAGTGGTTTCATTTATGTCCATTATGGATTTCTCTTCCTCTGTATTCTTTTAAAAATCTAATTTATGGCTTTAATGATTAGAGAGAGTCATATCATGGTGTTACTTGAAACGAAATAATATTCTCTTAATTTCATTTTCTCTATTGATGACAATAATAGAAATTGACTCTTTCAACCAGTGGTGCTTCGTCTGGACCTCTGTAATGCACCAAAGATGTTTTGACAGAGCTGGCGTCTCTGTGGATGAGTAGAATGTGGGATGGTATGTTAATCTGCTCTGCAGAGGCCATCCCAATAGCTTGTGCTCGTAAAGCTTTTATCTGAAGCTCTAATATCTGCCCATAAATGTTAATTAAACCCCACAGAGCTTATGTGAGGGAATATAATTTTTATTTTCCAAGGTCATTGGCTGACATGAACTGCTGCCAGACCTTATAAATCCAGTTCTGAAGACTAATCACAAAGTTGTACTTTAATAGGCTTTCTTAACTCCGTAGCTATGAATGATGAGTGTTTTAAAGAATAAAATTCAACTTTTGATTCTTTCATCTCTCTGGGTTTTTTAGTTTTCACTTTTGAGTCCACTGAGCATTTTAACTTCTTCAGGAAGTTTCTTCTTATTCTCATTGCTTTGAACCATATTGGTTTCTTCTTCCGATGATGGTAGAACAGGCTCAGAGTGAGGCGACCGTCTTTATGTGGTGTCGGAGAGTTAGTTAGGGCTTCAGCAGAAGTAAGGAAGAGACCAAAGTTTGATGTCACACAGATCTGACGTCAGATTTCCTATGTCACTGTTCACTGGGCCTGTGGTATAGGGAAAAATCTTAGTTTGCATTGTCTATAAAATGGGTGTATCATTTATGTCCTAGGATTGTCAGAAAGATGAAATAATAAGGGTGTAATGCCTGGCAGGTAGGAGGTATTAGATATAGATAGAATTTACTCCCCTGCTAAAATCTAGTTGAATCTAGTTTAATCATAGATATCAGCAGTGTCTGTGATCTGGGAATGCTTCCTCTGTTTTTAAAATTTGGCTCATTTTTTTTTAAGGTCCTCCTTCACCAACCAAAACTGCCAAAATGGTGAGTATATATTGATCCTCAAACGCTTCTTCCCAACACACTGAGAGAGATGCCACATTCCCATCTGTGAGAGCAGCTCACCATGGGGGTGATTAGTGTCCAGGGGAAGTCAGGAGGCATGCTGCCCTGGGCTTGTGTCAGAAATCCCAAGGAAGCATTTAGAGAAAGCCCCTAGTGAGCAGGTGTGCTAAGGATTGCTATTGGAAGAGCACTGGAGGCCCCTACTATCAATACCAGTAATCAATCCCCTAAGTGGTAGATTGTGGAAGCATTGAAGAGCATCCTTGGGGGTCCCTTTACTGTCTTGTGTCTCTGAGGAGCAAGGTAAGAAGAACCTAAATATTAGAAGGATGATAAGCTGTCACATCTTCTTGCTGGTGCTTGAAGAAAAGACATAGTAATATGATTCACATGATTTTGTGGGAACTGTGTTTACCCATGTTTAGTTTAACCTTCTTACATTTAGGACTAAATAAGATCTTCCCTGCCATCTGACTGGGTCAGTGAAAGTCCCCTCTAGCACAACACTTCCCAGTGACTGACCCCTTGTTATTCCCTGACAAGCTGGGACCCCTGCGCTTCTAATCAGAGTAATCGTGGCCTTCTTTGCTAACTTAGCTGGTAATCAAGAAAAAAGACTGTCAGATTTGAAACAGTATCTTCCTTGCCGTTCTTCTGAATAACTGAGTGGCCATTTAAGTACCATATAGAGAACAAGAACTAAAGCAAGGACACCCCAAATAGTGCTTTTGTGGAAGAAATTGTATTGGGTACACATTTGTGCCTACTTAAATATCTGCAGTTATGCAGATAGGAATATAAAGGCAATTATATTTAAAATCCTAATTTAGTTCAAGTTTGCCTACTTTACAGTCTTCCATCTCAAAATTGAAGGATGGTCTTACGTAACTCTAAACCATACACTATTAAAGGAAAGACCATCACATATCAAATAGATTAATTCCTTCTAGCCCAAGTAGGAATCCTCTGCAAATTTGCTGTTTTATGGTTCAAAAGAAGAGAAACACTCAGTATCTGCCTGGTTTATCACGTATTGACCCTACTCAGGTCCAAGGGGACAGAAAGTCCTTTTGTCCAGTTAGTGACGAGTGCCCTGGATTTTTCTGCCCCTCTCTGGTTTCTCTGATGATCATCTCTAACTCCTGTGCCGCCATATCTATTTCATAGTGGATGCACTGCAGCCACAGGGACCCCAATGCTTTACCATCGATGAAAGGTTTCCAAACACTTTTAACTGTTTCTGACAGGATAGTAGGGCACGTGAGGAAAGGGGAGGAGGTTGCTCTGACCTTCCTGCCGTCTGACTGGGTCGTGAAAAGTCCCCTGTAGCACCACACTTCGTAGAGACTGACCCCTCGTGATTCCCTGACAAGCCGGTACCCCTGCCCCTCTAGTCAGCATTAATTATCACAGACATCTCCAATCTCCCTTTCCTACCTGTAATTCAGGACAAAAAAACTGGTCTCCAAACCATATTTCCTAGGCTACTTATTAGATTTCATTTTTAATAAAATTTTATTAAAGAAGTCACTTTGCCTGGCTTCTATTTTGGGAACAGTCTATCTGATAAGAAAACTATCCAACTATGCTACTCTTTTCCCTCATCTTATTGCCTGCGTGGTACATTTTTCTTAATATACAGTAGAACTTTTATAAGTTCCTTCCACCCAAGGAACCGTAACAACTGGCCAACACACGCAAGGTGGTCACCGTAAGGAACTAGGCCTGCTGTGCTGATCCGTACGTGAGGCGCACATCCGGTTGTGAAAATGAGGTCAACTTAAGGAGGTGGTCAGCATAGGCAGGTGCTCAGCTGTCCGGGTTCACTGTGTTTGGATTGGCCAGACGGGGTTCTCACAGTGTCATCTTTGTAATCTAAATCAGAGTTCACACTTCCTATCCCGCTTTTTGAGAAAGAATATTGTCTTACACACCCGCCCTGAAAATGAACCTTAGTAGGGTGGGGCTCATCCAGAAGTTTATAAGGGTATTCTCTGAGTCTCCTTCTTGCTTTACTTGGAAGTGCCTGCCTTGTGTGGTATTTCTGTTGATCTTCATCTCAAAGTCAATGTGTGTCTTGGTGATAAAGAAAAGGGCAGGCTTGCTTAAACATAGGACTGAGACCCTTCAGTCCATACCATTCTAAACTTTTTTCTAATTTAAGTTAAATACATTTTAACCAAATACATATGGCTGTGAAAGTGAATTCCTGTGAGACTGCCCGTCTGCTGTGGCTTTGACCCTGCCACCTATACAACTGTAATCAGTTGACATACCTAGTTCAGACGACAGTTTTATGAGTTAATCAACCATCTGATTCTTAAAAATACTAAGTGAGGCCCTTTTCCATTTCAGAAAACAGATAAAAAGGAAAATTCAGGAAGTTTGGAGGCCATAAATGAGCCCATTCCCCAGCCTATGCCTTTTCCACCCAGCATTCTCAGGTCAGGATCCCCGAAATTGGATCCTTCTGAGGTCTACCTGAAATCTAAGACTTTATATGAAGATAAACGTAAGTAGTTGTGGAATATTTCAGGAAAGCATGTAACAAGATACATTTGGATTTTTTTTTAAACCGGGAACTTCCCATCTTTCAAAAGCACATTGAAAAGCGATGCCTCATTCCCATTTCAATACGACTCCGGCGTCTCCCATGTACATTCTGCGTTCACTTACTCGTCTTTTTCAAAACCATGTGTTAGTGCCAGGTATCTAACAGATGCCGTTTTAGGTCATTGGAATATAGAGATAAATAGGTTACACGGTCCCTGTACCCCAAATATTATTAAACCTAAATGAAAAAGCCAAGTGTCCATAGGCCTAACAAGTGCAGTGATGGATGAACTGGATAAACTGGGATCCGAAGCAGGAAACTGTTATTTTATCAATGCAGGTAGTAGGAAGTGCCAGGTCAAGCTTTATACTAGAAGTAAAGCTTTCACCAAACCTTCAGAGATGAAGAGCTATTTATGAGGAAGATAAAAGGGAAAGACAGAAGGAATAGTATTTGCACGCTGGCTTCCATGACCCGAGTTCTGCAAGTCGTCCACTTTGGCTGGATGTAATTAGCAAAGGGAGTCAGAGATGAGAGTGGGAGCAGATTCTAGAGGGCCAGTCATGCCCTTCTGGGGAAGCTGGACTTGGTCATATAAGAGAGAGAGCCATGGAATGGTTTTAACTAGGGGGAAGATATTTTTGGACTTGTATGTTAGGCAGATTTTTCTGGCAGGAGGAGGGAGGACGAATCAGAGGTGTGTGTAGTTTTGAGGAGGTGTCTCCAAGTTGAGGAGGAAACTACAGAGTTGACTCCTTACAGGAGTCCAGCTGCGAGATGAGGAGAGTGCAGAAGGCAGAAATGCACGTTGTGTTCATTTGCTTACTAATGAGAAATCTCTTCCAAAGGGAAGTTGCAAAGCAGTTTCAACTTTTTAAGATTTGTTTTTAAAAATTAGATTTAGGCTTGGCGCCCGTAGCTCAATGAGTAGGGCGCCGGCCACATACACCAAGGCTGGCAGGTTCAAGCCCAGCCCAGGCCTGCTAAACAACAATGGCAACTACAACCAAAAAATAGCCAGGCATTGTGGCAGGCGCCTATAGTCCCAGCTACTTGGGAGGCTGAGACAACAGAAACACTTAGGCCCAAGAGCTTGAGGTTGCTGTCAGCTGTGGCGCCACAGCTCTTTACTGAGGGCAACATAGTGAGACTCTGTCTCCAAAAAAATAGATTTAAATTACCTTGGGAAAAATATAAACTGGTGGAAATATTATACACAGTTGACTTCATGCTTACGTAACTTGTTATAGAACTTTACCTTGATATTCCCAGGCCATATTTAAGTAAATGAAATTCAAATGTAGGCCCAGCACGGTAGTAGTTTAAATTAGTGTAAGTGTGTAGAATCCCTTTTTCAGACTTGCTGTCCCTAACCTGATACATTCTTAATGTTGGTATAAACTCTGCTATCCTATTGAGCTTCAACCATAAAATCAGTGAGTTGGCCTTTAATCTCTAAAGTTCTATAATTTTAATAGGAAGTATTTATCGAAAGAGATTGCTTCTAAAGAATATTATTAGGAATTTACCCTACACCATATCTCACTTTTTATTTATATATAATATATATTAATATACATCTTATTAATATATATGATATGTTTGTCTCTTTTCTCTTGTGAGTAAATACTTCTTACTTGTAAATAACATGATTTTTTTACCCAGAGATAAAACCTTAAGAAATAGATTTTCCTGACTTAATAGTCTGAGGAATGCAGCCTGCCCTTAGGGGGAAAGAGTGTGATTTCCTGGACTCTGGGAATCAATCTGGGTTAAAATCTCAGCTCCACCACATACTTGCTACGTGACTCTGGGCAAGTTGCTTAAGCCTTAGTTTCCTCATCTAGAAAATGGGGCTAATAAAAGGGATTAGCTGTTTTTTTACATCATTTTGCAAAATTAGGCTAGGTAAGTAATTCCTATGTAATACTTTTCTGAGACAAAGGTATTAATGTTAGCATGAGAGTAGAAAGAAGGTATTTTATGGACTCTCTTTTCCCAGGACTTAAAGTACCTTATCCAAGTGTTAACTTAGCTCGTGTGTGCCTCCTAAATATCAAACTCAAATTGGATAATTCTGAATTTAATATTGTGTATTGATTGGATAACATTCCAAGTTAATGATAATATACTGAGTGAGGAGAAGTGGAATAGATATTTCTAAACAGTCTTGATACAGTTTTGTTTAGAGCTCAAAGAGATGACTTATGCTTGAATTTTTGTGTTTGCATATCATGTTCTTGTATAAATTTTCACATATCAAAAAGTTCTTGGATTATTGTTTATTACTCTGTAAATGTTATTCTGCTACATATTGAACTTTGTTTTGTTTTCATCTTTTACAGTATTTATTTGATATTTTCTGATTTTCCTTAGCGCCAAACACCAAAGATCTGGACGTTTTTCTTCGGAAACAAGAGTCAGGGTTTGGCTTCAGGGTGCTCGGAGGAGACGGCCCCGACCAGTCTGTGAGTGTCGGTTCTTTGGAATAAAGCCGTTCCTGTTCAGACTCTGAAGTGCTGATTTGGTGGGAGATGGTTTGGTTTGATGTTTCAAGGTGTTTTTTTTTTTCCTCTAACATTTTCATTAATACGAGGAAGAACTGCATTTTTATTAGTATCACAGTCCCTTGGTTAACGTGAGACAGGGGAGGCTAAAAACTGTAGGCAAAAACGGAATACGTCAGCTGCGAATTCAGTGGTGATTATTTACTCCTATATGTAAATAAATAAAGCTTATTTTAACTTTTATTTCCTCTTACCTTCATTAAACAGAGTCTTAGACATTTTCCTTCTCTAAGAAACCTATAGTTCTATGTCCTCTTTCCCTCTGTCTTCTGAATTTTCCTTAAACAGTTGGCAGAAGCTTAATAGGCACAGGCTCAGGCCAACTGTTTATTTCACTTAATAACGTTAATGAGCGAGCATTTTCCTGCTTGGTACCTTGCCCATAATTTCATCCATTACAGATGAAACTAGAGGAATATAAAACAGTTAATATTTCTGTCTAGAAGGCATAAGGGTTGTAGATCTCAAGTTTAGACTTCTATTTAAACTCCATTCTCACTACAGTCAGGTCAGAGAACAAATGTGGTAGGTTTTGTTGTTAAGTTTTGCCTTGAATTGAGTAACAAAGAAGTAATGAGCTCTGTAGAATTTAAGAACAGAATTTACCCTTTTTTTTTAAAAGGACTATATTGTTATGCTTAGAAGTTAGGTGTAAAACAATAATCTTCAGCTTCTTTTCCTGAATTCAACTTTTGATTTTTATAAATGTGTTTAATTAGTCTTATTGGTTATGATTCTAACTGTCATTGGAGATACGTAAAACTTCAGGGAGATTGCTCTATAGAGGGCAAATGTACAATTCTTTGTTCCTAATAGCATAGGTACTTTTATCTTATTGCTTTCCATTTTGTTGGTATTTAGATATTTTGTTGATATTTAGATAGTGTTCACTTAGGCATTCTAAGAATTTATCTTGAACAACTTGGGAGAAACCTTTTTTTCCCCCCCTCTTACATGTCACATCCTAGCAGCTTTGAAACCAGCTCAAATATTCAGGATTGCCTAATTATAGGATTCTAATTGCTGGTGAGCAGAATGAACCAGATTTGCTCACCCAGATGCAAGTGAACCCTAGTCCACCGTCCCCTTTGAGATTTAGAAACAAGAAACGTTTCTTAGCTGTGTGTACTGAACTTGCACGGTTAGCCATATGTGATGGGAATAGTGTGAGAATGATCCCAGGTGCTGTGAACATAGTGTAGAAAATCTTGCCGATGGCGTTAAACAGGTTTTTTCTACTTTTAGTAGCTATTCCACAGAATTACATTTTCTGAGTTTAATACTTTGTTTCCTTGTAGTGACGGACAATGATGGTGGTACCCTTTAAGTTATTGAACAACTTTGTATTTTCTGTCTTCTTTGGACACAACCTAAGGACCTAGAAAGGATTACGCAATACAGTGTGGTTATTTGAGGTGCCATTTTGGAGAATGGGCGATGTCTAGGATACCACTTTCTAACATACGACTCTTTTCGTAACTGAATTATAGAAAATCTGTTGGTTTGCACAATGCTGAGTCAGGATGGTCTGGGCGCTTCTGGTGGATCAACCTGTGCTTTGTTGTCTTACCAGATATATATTGGTGCCATTATTCCTCTGGGAGCAGCTGAGAAAGATGGCCGGCTCCGTGCAGCTGACGAACTAATGTGCATTGATGGAATTCCTGTCAAAGGAAAGTCACACAAACAAGTCTTAGACCTGATGACGACTGCTGCTCGAAACGGCCATGTGTTATTAACCGTCAGAAGAAAGATTTTCTATGGAGGTATGCAAACCTGTTCCTGCTCTGAAAAGTTAAAAAGAAACAAACTTAACTATACTTCCTTTGTAGTTGTGAAGTTTATTTTACAATATTGTATTGAATGGTATATGAGATAACCCGTTTGGTGTGGTCCAGGACCTCATTGTGAAAGGCCACGTAAAGTCAGAAGGATCCAGAAAAACTACTACTATTAAAAATGAAATACATTTTGGGCCTCTAGAGTAAGGTCATATTTATATATTGATGCTTTTTTGCCCATGTGGCACTGTGGTATCAAATTAAATCTTTTTATTTAACCCAATGCAGTTATTTAATCATACCAAGATGTCCCACTAACTGAATATGTAAAGGTTTTGGATCCTGACAAAATCTCAGATATTCAAGGAAAATGGAATATTCCTACTTGAAAAGTATAAATTTAATTTAATTATGCTTTACATTAAACATGTATAATTTAACCTTTACTAAGTACTTACTATGTCCCAGGTACAGGGATTATTTTATTTAATTTTCCTAACACTATGATGTAAAAATTGCCATTTCTATAATTACTCACAGAAAGATTGAGAGCCACGTAACTGGTAAGTGGTGGGGCCAGGATGAAAACTCTCAGTTTAATTGCAGAGACCGGAGTCTAAACCATTACACTAGGATATGAACATTTTTTACAGTTTATTCATCAGTAGTTTTGTGAATATTAAATAGGAACTTTTATAAGTGAATTCTTGCACTTTAAAATTTAAAAATTTTACAACTGTAGCACAAGGACGTCAGTCTCATGAAGGCGTGGATTCATTATCCGCTGTGTCCCCGGCCCCTAGAAAAGTGTCTGCGTGGCACAGAGCGGACATTAATACTTGTTCATGAACTTGATGAATATTTACATCAGTCAGAAAAACGAGGCACACCGTGTGTTTCCTTTTTAACTTTTTATTAATGCATAATATTTTGCATATGTATGGAGTAACATATGGGTCTTTGGAGTATCCGTCACCTTGAGTATCCTTTCCATGTTGGGAACACCTCAGGCTCTCTCTTCTAGTCACTTGTCTTATTACAGTTCTTAGGAGAAAGGCTTTCTGCTTTTCCCCACTTGGTGTGAAGTTAACTGTGAATTTGTCATATGTAGTAGGTTGAGGTATGTTCCTTCCTAGTGTGTTAAGAGCTTTTATCATGAAGGATGTTGAATTTTATCAAATGCCTTTTCTGTGTCTATTGAGATAATCATATAGTTTTTGCCTTTCCTTTTGTTGATGTGATGTATCATGTTTATTGATTTACATATGTAAATTTATCTCTGGGATAAATCCCACTTGATCAGGTTACATTATCTTTCTGATATGCTGGTGGGTTCAGTTTGCAAGTATTTTGTTGAGAATTTTTGTGTCTGTGTTCATCAGGGATATTGGTCTGTTGATCTTTTTTGTTATGTCCTTGTCTGGTTTCAGTATCAGGGTAATTTAGGCCACATAGCATGAGTTAGGGAGAATTTCCTCCTCTTCAATTTCTTGGAATAGTTTAAAGATCATTAGTTTCTTGAAAGTTTGGTAGGCTTTGGCAGTGAAGACATCTGGTTCTGGACTTTCATTTCTTGGAAGACTTTTTGTTCCTGATTCAGTCTCATTCCTCAGCATTATTTTGTTCAGGTTTTCTAGTTTGTTAGTGTTTCATTGTTCATAGTAGTCTCTGATGATCAATTTATTTACTTTTTTTTTCTTTTTTTTAAGAGACAAGATCTCACTTTGTCACTCAGGCTGGTGTGCACTGGCACAGTTAATCATAGCTCACTGCAACCTTGAACTCCTGGACTCGAGTGATCACTTCCACCTCAGCCTCCAAGTAGCTGGGACTACAGTCGTATGGCATTGTCCCCAGCTAATAATCTTTTGTTTTTCTGTAGTGTCAGTTGTAATGTCTCCTTTTTCATTGTTTATTTTGTTTTTTGGGTTTTTTTTTTTTCTTGGTTAGTCAAGCTAGTGGTTTATCAATTTTGTCTTTTCTTCCTTGTGTGTTTGCTCTACCAGCAGCTTTTATATTTTCACTTCCTGATCTTTTTGTAATATATTTTAGTCTTTGTTTCATTTAGTTCTCTGCTCTATGTTTATTTCCCTCTGCTAATTTTGAGTTTGGTTTCTTCTAGTTTCTTGAGATGCATTGTTACAGGTTTATTTGAATTGTTTTACTTTTTGATATAGGCATTTATTGCTGTATAATTCCCTCTAAACACTGCTTTTGCTCTCTCTCATGAGTTTTGGTATGGTGTGTTTTAATTTTCATTTGTTGCAAGAAATATTTTTTATTTCCTCTTTAATTTCTTCAGTAACCCAGTGGTCATTCAGGAGCATGTTATTTAATCGCCATGTGTTTGTACTATTGCCACATTTCCTCTTGTTATTGATTTCTGTGATCCGAGAAGATACTTGATATAATTGCCATTTTTAAAAATTTGTTGAGACACGTGTTTTGTCCCTAACATATGTTCTATCCTAGATAATGTTCCACATGCTGATGGGAAAAAAAAAAAAATGTGTATTCTATAGCTGTTGGTTGTATTGCTCTGTAAGTGCCTGTTTGATCTGTTTGGTTTAACGTGCAGTTTAAATCCAGTGTTTCTTTGCTAACTTTCTGTATAGATGGTCTGTCCAATGCTGAGAGTGGGGTGTTCCAGTTTCCAACTATTATTGTATTGGAGTCTATCTCTCCCTTCAGATTTAATAATATTTGCTTTGTATAAGTATGTGATCCAGTATTGGGTACATACATAAATGTTTAGAACTGTTATATCCTTTTTATAAATTGATCCCTTTGTATGTTTTTACTGTTTATGACTTAAAATTTTATCTGATATAAGTATAGCTAGTCCCTCCTTTTCAGTTGTTTGCATGGAATAGCTTTCTCTATACCCTCACATTCAGTCTACGTCTTTATAGGTGAAATGAGTTTCTTGTTGGCAGCATATAGTTGGGTCATGATTTTGGTTTTTTGTGTTTGTTTGTTTTTTTTAATTTCCTTGTCCATTCAGCCAGTCTCTATCTTTTATGTAGAAAGTTTAATTTGTTTACATTCAAGGTTATTGTTGTCAATAACATTGTCATCTCATGAATTGCTTTCTGGCCATTTTGTATATCTTCAGTTCCTTTCTTCTTCTGTTATTATTTGTGATTGTGGTTTGGTGGTACTTTACAGTGGTGTATTTGAGGGTTTTCTCTTCCTTGTGTGTTTGTTCAACAAGCAGCTTTTATATTTTCATGTGTTTTCGTGATAGGTATTATTCTGTTGCTTCTAGGTACAGGACTATCTAATCATTTCTTCTTATAAAGCTGGTCTGACAGTGATGTGATCCCTCAGCTTTTGCTTGTCTGTAAAACATTTTATTTCTCTTTCACTTAGGAAAGATAACTTTACTGGGTATAGTATCCAGTTGTTTTTTTGTTTGTTTTTGTTTTTGTTTTTTATCTCAAGCACTTGAATATATCATCCTGTTCTCTCCTGGCTTACAAGGACTCTGCTGATAAATCCTTTATAAGCGACTACACACTTTTCTGTTCCTGTTTTAGAATTTTCTCTTTGTCTTTGTCTTTTGATAGTTTGACTGTAAAATGCTGTGGAGAAAGACCTTTTTAAATTATTATCTGTTTGTTAATCTTTGAGCCTTCTATATCCGGGTGTCTAAACTCTTGGTAGACTTTGGGAAATTTTTATCCATTTGTTAAATAGGCTTTCTAATTCTTTAATTTTCTCTTTGGTTTCTGGGACTCTGAAAATAAGCATATTTGGTCATTTCATAGTGTCCTACCTGTCACAAAGAGTTTGCTTATTCTGTTTTATTCTTTTTTCTTTATTTTTGTGTGACTGGGTTATTTCAAAAAACCTGTCTTCTAGTAAAGTATCACAAGAATGAAAAACAAGTATCTAAGGTACTCAATACTAATATGAAGCCAGCAGACAAAGTAATACATGCCCTCACAAGAGAAAAACTCAATTCAATTCAAGTTGGGGGGGGAGAGGAGAAGAGAGGGGGACTGGTGCGCTCCCACCTAATGGGCTTAGTGTAAGGGTATATGGCACGCCTCCTGAGTGCAGGACACAACTGCAACAGGGACCTCACCTAACAAATGCAAACATTGTAATATATAATCATTTGAACCTTGATATTAATCTGCAATTAAAAAAGAGAAAACTATCTTCAAAACCTGAGATGCTTTCTTCTACTTAATCTAATCTACTATTGAAGCATCCAAATCTATTTTGTATTTCATTCATTTGTCTTCACTTCCAGAATTTCTGTTTGGTTCTTTTTATGCTATCTTATGGGTACATTTCTAATTCATATCCTGAATTGTTTTTCTGATTTCCTTGTATTATTTTATAGAATTCTCTTGTATCTCATAGAGCTTTAGAATCAATAATTTGAATTCCAGGATTTTGTAAATTTTGTTTTGATTGTGATTTGTTGCTGGAGAATTATGATGTTCTTTTGGAGGCATCATGTTTCCTTTTTCATGTTTCTTGTTCCTGATGTTGATATCTGTGCGTTTTCTATTATTAGAAATGAAATTTTATTGTTGAGAGGCTTAGAACAAAAATACTTTAGTTACCAAAAATCATGGTATTTAGAGATATCAGAAATGATCATGTTTATTATAGAAAAACAACCTGAGGATGACAGCTCTCAAGCCTTCATTTCAACACAGAACGGATCTCCCCACCTAAACCGAGCAGACGTCCCAGCCAGGCCTGCTCCCCCGGAGGCCTATGACGTTGTCCTGCAACGAAAAGAAAATGAAGGATTTGGCTTTGTCATCCTCACCTCCAAAAACAAACCACCTCCAGGAGGTAAGGGCCACTGTGTCTTAATTGTCTCTTCCAAAAAGTCCAGTTTTCTGAGCCTACCCCTGGAGCTGATGAAACTAATTAGAAACTATGTGTAATTTGCCTTAAAGGCTTACCATTTTAAGAATGTTGAATATTTTCCTTATTTTCAAAATTAATTATCTGAATTAATTAATAATCTGAACCAAACCTTCCAAGCTTCAAGTTTAACTGTCATCTCAGATTTTATAAATAAGTCTTAGTAGCTCAGTTTGCATCAAGGTTCTACTGAGACAGTATATAAGGAACATGACTTAGTGGATTTAGTAATAGAGACAATACTGAATTTTTTTAAATATGGGGCATAGGTTTTTAAAAGTAGGATAAATCACGTATCTAGAATTTAATTAAAACAAGAAGCAGTTGAGAAAAAACAGATTAATGGAAAAATCTTGATCCAAATATATCTTTTAAATAGCTATGCTATTTAATAATAATTGCCATATTCCAGCTATAACGTGTTCTTGTTAAGAGGCATTCTTTCATAAATATTTTACTGGAAGATAAAAATTTTCTCTAAACCTTTGAAAGTTAGTCTAAATTGAACGTAATAGTCTCATCTGGGAAGAACGAATATTTATGTATGTATTTGTCTTGTCTCAATGTTCCTAAGAAATAATAATCTTTCATATAATTATAAAATCCAATTAAATATAAAATGAGAACCGGCACATTGATGTTTATGTGTTATGCTTATCAGTAACTTTATTTTTCTAAGTTAAACGATGAAAATCTTTGACCACATGAAAATGTGCTCTTGCCTTTGCCCATGGGTTTGATTATATCTTGGGTAGTGAGATCCTTTTAGATTAGATGATTACTAAAACCTTAGTGGGAAAAAAAACACTTTCAGGAAAATGCTGTGAACCAAACCAATTTACAAAAATCTTGCCAAAATTAATGCAGGTGTGTAAGAGAAAAAGCTCCAGTGACATGGATGAGTTATTGCTGTAGTATCAGGTCACTGCTCACTGATACTAGTATCCATTTTCCAAAAGCAGTTGCTATGGTAACACTTGGAACTGGAACTGTCACTGATGCTGTGAGGATGATTATGTGGCCTGTGTCAGAAAAATGAGAGGAAAGCAGCTTTTAGATGGTTTTCATGTTGTATCATTGGAAAATAGTATTTCAGAAAACAAAAACCTTTTGGGATAACCATATTGTCTTTCTAATACTGTACAATAATCCCAGGCATTCAGATTAACAAAATAGTGAAAGATTATTGCTATAGTAGGTAGATACCAACCACTTTTTATATTGAAGATTGTTCCTTTTCTAGCATAACAAAAATCAGGGGAGAGTCTGGTGTTCTCCATAAAACTAAGTGATATAGAGGAATTCAATAAATAAGTTACATTACTTAAGTATGTTTAAATAAATTTTTTATATTTATTTGTTTATATTTAAAATTTTAAGGTACTTTTATATTTATTTGTTTAGATAGTTTTTTACTATTTTGATGGTTTTGCCTCTGCAAATGTTCAGTCTCTGTACTCTGTATAAGGCTGTCATTAAGTGTTGGGTTTTATAATCAGGTAAACTTGGATTCAAGACCTTTTAATAGCTGTCTGATCTCGGGCTAAGTACGTGCCCTCCCAGAGCTCCCGATTCCCCTGTGAAATGAAGATGATGATGATAATCCCTGGCTTACTGAGTGTGAGGAGGCAAAGAGCTTCGGCAGGTGAAGCCCTGAGCCCAGCTGCTGCTGCCGTGCCATTGTCACCATTGTCATCGTCACTTAGAAAACTGCCACTGCCTTTGAGCTTTCTTTTAAAGAACTTTACAAAGTTTATCAATGCTTAATAATAAGATGGAAAAGAAAGCCCAATTACAATGTAAGATTGAGGCAGCAGCTACCATGCCGCAGGAAGTGAGCGCAGCTCATTAATTACCATCCCAAATGGCAAATTGGGCTCAGGTTGTTGATGAATTTTGTATAAAGTACCTGAGATTTTTGGTCATGCTGTAGAACCAGAATTGATAATTTCACTGAAATGCTAGTTTAATAATCTAACAAAATGCTAAGCCCTGCAAGTGTTCTACTTAGAACTCCATTAATCTCAGCTCGGTGCCCGTAGCTCAGTGGGTAGGGCGCCAGCCACATATAACAAGGCTGGCAGGTTTGAGCCTGGCCCAGGCCTGCTAAACAACAATGACAACTGCAACAAAAAAGTAGCTGGGCGTTGTGGCAGGCGCCTGTGTAGACCCATCTACTTGGGAGGCTGAGGCAAGAGAATCAAGAGAATCGCTTGAGCCCAAGAGTTTGAGCTTGCTGTCAGCTGTGGCACCACGGCACTCTACCGAGGGTGACATAGTAAGACTCTGTCTAAAAAACGAAAAGGATAGTCCTACTATGAAACTAATTTATGGCTTTCATAGGAAAGCTATAACCCAATTTTAGCCCAGGAATATGGGGAGAGGGGAAAAGGAGGGGGAGGGTGATTGGTGGGATCACGCCTATGGTTTATCCTATAAGGGTACATGTGAATCTCTCTAAATGTAGACTATAAATGTCTTAACACAATAACTAAGAAAAGACATGAAGGCTATATTAACCAGTTGGATGAAAGTATTGCAAATTGTATACAGAAACAGTACACTATACTCCATGATAGTATTAATGTACACTGCTATGATTTAATAAAAATTAAAAAAACTCCATTAATCTCATATAGACACACAAAAGCCCTTGGGGCAAGCTTGGCAGGCACCTTTCACTCACAGAGGCTGAGCACTTACTGCACATTGCCTGACGGAGGAGGTTTGGTTGGAAAGGACCCTGCCCAGGGGAAGGCAGGACACCTGGACACCTGTCCAGTCGTTCTGTGCAGACCTGGTCTCAGAACTGTTCCACATGGATTACTATTCTCTTCTAATTAAATATATTTTCCAATAATGTGTGTCATAAGAAGAGTTCTTAGTAACATCTCTAGTACCAGTTATGAAATCCTGAGACTGCCTCCTGTTGATCAGGGTCCAGGTCCAACATCCTCAGTTTGTCTAAAAACTAAATGATGAAATACTTAGAAAAGGCCTTTATTTAAGAAGAAAAGGGCGTGGCGAGTTTCCTTTTGCCAGTACTTCAGAGCTTTCAGGGTTAGTCTTTCTCATCAGTCTTCAGTTCTGATTGCAAAGGATTTCTTTGAGAAGGGGACATTTCCAGTTAGTTCTTTCTTTCCTAAATCTTCCGTAAAAAGAAATGTTTTAAGCATAGTAAAGTGATCTCAGCAGCTGGACAACCCAGGCTGTGAGGCAGATTTAGGCCAAAGGTGAATGAAAATGGAGAAGTTGGCTTCATGGCAAACGCCTGAAGACTCTTCATGTGAGCAGACAAGGCAGGGCTGCAGGCGTTCCCCACCTGTGTGTGCTCTGAGGATCCCCGTGGAAAACTTCTCAGTCCGTAAATGCCAAGACATTAGCTATCTGACTACTTTAGACAGAGTCCCATTTTGTCACCCTCAGTAGAGTGCTGTGGCGTCACAGCTCACAGCAACTTCAAACTCTTGGACTCAAGTGATCCTTTTGCCTCAGCCTCTCACGTAGCTGGAACTACAGGTGCCTGTCATGACGCCTGGCTATTTTTAGAGATGGGGTTCTCACTCTTGCGGAGGCTGGTCCTGAACTCCTGAGCTCAAGCACGCCACCTGCCTCGGCCTCCCAGAGTGCTAGGAGCACGGCGCCTGGCTGGCTGCCTTCTTTTACCTTCCTTCACCCAGACAACTACCTCTTCAGGAGGTTGAGTTGCCCCTATTTGCCAATTCTTCTTTACCACGCTGCTCACATGTTAAGAAAAGAGACCACTGGGGCTTGAGAGATGAATTCTGTTTAATGCTTTCTCAAGTCTGAATAAACTCCTTTCAGTGTGTGAAGGAGATGAATGATTTTCTTCCTAGGGGATCTCAAATGAACACTGTGTGTGAATGGGCAAATCTCTCCTAAGAAGGAGAATACTATATTTTGCCAAGTGTAATGTGTCAGTATCATGCGCACCTGTGTTTTTGGTCCCAACTTTAAAGAAAAAAATGTTTCATTTTAAGTTTTTAATTCAAATTTTTATTTGTTTATATGTATCCAGGTACTTTTTGCTTATAAAGGAATTTTAGCATTTATTTTTTAACATATTATGGTACATGAAATTTTATGTAACAAATAATTCCAAAACACAAAAACACAGATACAGGGTTCAGGAAGTTTTGTGTACCATTGTGCTTGTTTGCCCATCATAAAAGGCCAAGAGCTCTTTGATACTGTCAATATCAGAAGTGTCGGCTTCAATTTCCACATTACCGGTGTCTCCTGAAGAGCCACTTTCCTCGTCCTGGTACATTTCATCATCCCGAGCTGTAGCCGTAGCCGTAGCATTGCTGATGCAGCATTTTTAAAACAACTTCACAACCGCTTCCTTATTGACACCGTTCCGTGATGTTAGGATTCAATCGCAAACCTGAGCAATGGGTACTTTTTGATTCTGCCTGGAGGCACTAAATCATTACCAGCTGACTGCATCCACGGTGTCCACTCTTTTTTCATTGGAGTCTTAAAGGACTCGCTCACTGACCCATCAAGAGGTTTGCAGTTGGCTGGGTAGCCCAGTAGATATCACAGCAAGTTGGGTTTTCAAGTCCACTGCAGTTGCTTCTGCACTTTGTGTAACAAGGGCTTGAAGTAACCAAAAGCAGGCAAGCTGGTTTGTTAAGTAATCCTCCAGGCCTCCATGACTAAACACTGTTAACCAGATTTTCCTGATGTCTTATTCAAACGTCCTTTTTCAGGCACACAGACAATAACTCTACTTAGAATCTTTATTTTGGAATGTATTTTTTTCTTTTAAAGATGATCACAGCTGGGCCAGGCATGGTGACTCACACTTGTAACCTTAGCACTCTGGGAGGCTGGGCAGGAGGAATACTTGAGCTCAGGAGTTCAAGACCAGCCTGAGCCAGAATGAGACCCCGTCTCTATTAAAAAAAAAAAAAAAAAATTATTCAAGCTGGGTGGCGTCTGTTGTTCAAAGGAGTAGGGTGCTGGCCCCATATACTAGAGGTGGAGGGTTCAAACCCACCCTGGCCAAAAACTGCAAAAAAAAAAAAAAAATTATCTAAGCACTGTAGCAGGCCTATAGGCTCAGTTACATGGGAGGCTGAGGCAGGAGGATCACTTGCGCCCAAGAGTTTGAGGTTGCTACGAGTTAGGCAGAGATGACGTACAGCGCTCTAGCCCAAGGGAAAAAAAAGATAATTAGTGGTAGCTTTGTCCCATCTGCCCAACAGACTAGAACAATAGTGAAATGTGTTTTCTGGTGTCCTCCAGTTTTAATAGTCACCGTCTTTTCTCCTTTGACATCCACAGTTCTGTTGGATGGCTCATCAAATGTGAGTGGAAACTCATCCAGGCCAGTAGCTTAGGAGAGGTCAAGGTTGTAAGTCTTGGAGATTGGTAACAGAAGAATGAAGTTGCAAAACTTGATTCTCATAGTTTGAGGGGCAGTTCTGTTTGTGTCCTTGTGCTCAGACCTTCTCTCTTTATAAAGTTAAAGCACCACGTCAGTGTCCCTGAGAAGTCAGTCCCTCTACCCTCTTCCTGAATCATCTTGCTTGGAACACAGATCCCAGTTGGACACTGCTCCAGAATCCAGGCCTCCACCTCCTGCCCACCCTGCGGCCACTTTGCAGGTTTCCCTCTCAACACCTTCCTCTGTCTTCGTGTCTGAAGCAGCTTTTCTGGCCGATGCCTCCAGTCTGATGACACTCTCTGTAGGAGAAGGTCCATAGTGTCTCAGCAGCTCTGGTGCCGTGCTCTTTGGCATATTTAATAACTAACAGCTTAGAGTTTGCAGTGTACAAAAACCATTTGACATTTTCTAAAGGATTTTTCAATAATTTTTGTAAAAATATCAGCTACATTGCTAGCCCCCGCCTAAAGTGCATGAAGAGAAATACATCAGGTCACTCTTCATGGGCCAGAATTATTTTGTTGCAAGTTTGTTATAAGTTCAACAAAATCAATTCCCATTTTCGAGGGTTTTATTTTGCGTATGGGTATTATTAGTGCTTTCTAGAGTTAGACTTTTAACACATAAGCATAAATAAAAGAATTGAAAACATGTATAAAGGTACTGAATTAGTACCACCTGTGTACAAGGCACATCTTTATTTTACCCTCAAAAACTGGGGGGGGGGGAGTGTGTGTCATACACAGCAAAATATGGTAACTGAGGTATTGGTTTAGAAGGTGACCACAGGGCCACCACCTGATCCTCCATATGTTTCCAGTGTGCAACCTGTTATGCTATTAGTGAATCACTCACAGAGCCTGGGTAGGTCCTGGCCTGTACTACCCTGGCATTTTTCTAATTTGTTTCTAGGGAAGATGGAATAATAAATTCTTGATTATAATTCAGAGCTTTCTTCCAACATTGATTTCCTGTATATTAAGATACCGTCTCCCACTGTCTGATCCTAGAAGAGCCAGCGTGCTATCTGCAGGGTCATAAATCATGACCAAGCATAACTTTTCCAGCCCAAGTGAAAAGGGGAATTAATTTTCATGTAGAACTAATATGATTCATTTTAATGATCAGTCATTTCACTGTACCTGGAATTTTTTTATTTTTTTTGAGACAGAGTCTCACTGTGTCACCCTGGGTAGACTGCTGTAGCGTCACAGCTCATAGCAACCTCCAACTCTTGAACTTAAGCGATTCTCTTGCCTCAGCCCCCCAAGTACTGGGACTACAGGCGCCTGCCACAACATCCGACTATTTTAGTTGTTGTCGTTGTAGTTGTCATTGTTGTTTGGCAGGCCTAGGCCAGGTTCGAACCCACCAGCCTTGGTATATGTGACCGGTACCCTAGCCTCTGAGCCACAGACACCAAGCCTATACCTGGAATTTTGACCAGTAACTCCTAAATCCTAAACTTGAGTTTGACCTGCCTTTAAGGTTTCTTATGGGAGCAGGAGCCCCTTCAACACTAGCAAAGATGGCCTCATTGTGGCAGCTTCTGAAGGAAGCCCTAACAGCCAGTCAGACATCTGATCAGTGAAATACTGTCAGGATCAGAGAGGGCAGTAGCTCTTAAACAGAATCATTAGGGTGATGATGTAAGAATCAGAAGAAAGCTTCTGGTGAGAGGAAAACAGCAAAGAGGTTTGCATGTGTACGCTGTGGTTACAACTATGTACAGAGAATCATGTCTAGGGGCAAAAATGGGAGATAATTTGAAAACGGTTGCATTTAGGTCGGATGATGACGTGCAGTGCTTTTCTGCTGTTATTTTTTATGAAATTTCTTTAATGTTACATTGAATTTGTAAATGATAGTGATGATAAATCCAGCACTAACGTATGTCACAACTAATTGAAAAAACTGGATTTTCTCCCCATAGTTATTCCACATAAAATTGGCCGAGTCATAGAAGGAAGCCCAGCTGATCGCTGTGGAAAGCTGAAAGTTGGAGATCATATCTCTGCAGTGAATGGGCAGTCCATTGTCGAACTGTCCCACGATAACATCGTTCAGCTGATCAAAGATGCTGGTGTCACCGTCACACTAACCGTCGTTGCTGAAGAAGGTAAGGAACCAGCGGACCTGCCCTTCTCAAGCCCTCTGAGGGGCACAGAGCTTCCCCCCGCAGTGACAGGACTGTGACTGTACCTTGGAGTCTCATTCTCTGTCTTTTCCATTTAATGAATTTAGAAGGTAGTTATAGTTGTCAGCAGCTCGAGAGAAATAATCCAGCTGGTGAGTGGTAGCTATTTATTTACGTGCTGGAGAAGCAAGCACTCGGAAATAAGAGATTGGAAATACTTTTCACATCTTATTTTCTTAATGTCGTAAGTCTCTGCTCAAGTGAGAGAAAATCCTTTAAACAGTTCAAAGAAAGTCGCTGTTGATACCAAACCTTTTATGTCAGGCCAATGCCGTAGTGTGTTTTTTCTTGGGGGCAGGGCTCTGTTCTGGGCAGCTGTGTCATCAACAGGGAAGGGAGCTTGTAGGAGTGGCTTGAAACCCACACTGGCAGCCCTGCAGTCTTAGCAACGTGTGTAATGTCTTGCTTTGCCTTAAAGCTGCCTTTTGATCATTAAGAATTTCTAATTAGGAACCATTTTAAACCATCCACGTTCTTTGTGAATTATGATGTAACCACTGCATAATGCTTTTGTCATTTTTCCTGGCTTTATAGAATAAGGAGAAACTAAAAACAGAATTATGACGTTTCAGTCTTCTAAGTTAAAACTCCTCGTACTATAACGTGTGTTCACGTTCCATTTTCCCCCACGACCTTTTACGTGTCTTGATTCCACCTTCCTTTTCTGTTCCAGCCGTGCCATCCTCACCCGTACATTTATTTCTAAGGTATTGCATAAATCACCTTTCTGTTGAAGATGCTCTGGGTGGAGGGGATTTATACCTTGATGTTAATTCACCTGCCGCTCCCCAAAGCCCTGTCCCGTTCTGAGTCGGGCAGGGGTGACGTCCCTGCCTTCTCTCCTTTCCCGTCTCCTTTCTTTTCTCACACTCTTCTCAGACTCTGCTGATTCTTTGTTCTAAAATCCTCTTCCAAAGAAACTCCAGTGCCTCCCTGCTCCGCACAGAGAGTGTTCCCAGCCTGCCTTTTCAATTTGCCTCCCAGTTTTCTCTCCAGACTCTCTTGGCGGCCTTGTCGTCCTCTATGCAGATGGGCTTCCTCCCCAGTTCCCACAGCAGGTTCCATGTCTGAGTCCGTTAGGCGGTGTTATGGAAGAGGACATAATGTAAATGGCCTATTTAAATGGCCTGCTCTTGAAGACAGAAAATATTGGTTGACTGTGATACTTAGTAGGTGCTCAGTAAATATTTTTTGGATGAAGAAATGAGTAAATGGATGAATGAACAAAGGGACAGTCAAGGAGATGCTAGTTCTCAGGCCTTTGTGCCATTACCGAAGCAAACGCAGCATTAACCTTGTAGAAGAGTAAGTCTTCTGACAAAGTTCACTAACACCTCTGTAGCTAGTTACAGGCTACTCACCATTTTTTTTTTAAACAGTCTCACTCAGTCACCCTGGATAGAGTGCCATGGCGTCATAGCTCACAGCAACTTCAAACCTTTGGGCTCAAGTGATCCTCCTGCCTCAGTCCCCCAAGTAGCTGGGACTACAGGCCCCTGCCAGAATGCCCAGCCAGCAGTTACAGTGTCTCACTCTTGCTCAGGCTGGTTTCAAACTCCTGAGCTCAGACAATTCTCAGCGTTCTTAGGCTTCAGTTTTTTTCTCTGTAGAGAGCTATTTCAGGACCATGGCAAGGGTTAATGGTGCAAACGCACAGAAGCCACATACGTGCCCTGAGGTGCTCGTCTCAAGATGCCAAAATGTATCTTACCTGCATGACTGGCTCCCTCATTCAGGTCTCTGTTTAAATCTTACCTCTTAAGAAAATAATAACAATATTTAATAACTGCTTAGTATCTGAGAGGCACTGTCCTAACTACTTTATTTATATAGTAATATATAAATATAGTAATCCTTAATATAGTAATTCTACCTTGGCAGGCACTATTTTTTCCCTATTCTTGTACATGAGGAAACTGAATAAATTAGGGCAATTGCCTGTGGTCATGGAATTAATAAGTAACGGACCCAGGATGTGAATCAGGCAGTCTGGCTTTAGAACCTGTGCTTTTACCTGCTGTGGCTTCCCACCCTGGAACCCACATAACCCTCCCCTGCCTGCCCCGTGCGTATCTGAACCCTCCTCACGCTGCGTTCCTTCTCTGCATTGCACTCTCCTTGAGGTTATTCAGTTGTTATTTTTTTTATCACCCAATCCCCCCACGAGAATGTAAAGTCAGCTGGGCACAGTGGTTCATGCCTGTAGTTCCAGCTACTCAGAAGGCTGAGTCTGGAGGATTGCTTGAGGCTACTAGCCTGGGCAACATAGCAAGACCCCTGTCTCTAAAAAGGAAAAGAAAAAGTCCAATCGTGAATTGAATTCATAGATTCATGCATTCACATTTTATCACATAAGTGGTCAATAACATTTTTTGACCATTACTTAAATGTGATTTCAGTCAGATTTCTTTCTCTTTGTTTCTTTACCACGATCTCTATAGCCTGTATTCCAGCATTAACATTCGTTCTATGACCCACAGAGAAAAGCAGGCCTCTGTGCCACAGAAATAACATTTTAGGGTTGTTCTGAGAATGCTGTAAATCGTGCCTTTGAATCACCGTATCTGGCACGCAGGAGGCACTGAGTGAAAAGGTGGCCAGAAATAGCAGAACTAGCCACGTGGCTCAGTCAGACCATCTACGGAAAGGAATCTTCTCCCCGGTCCATCTCAGTCTAGCATTTTTGTGAAATATAATAAAAATTAAATGAAACACTTTTTAAAAGCCATAAGATTACTGTGTCAGCTTGTTAAGAAATTTTCTAAGTGGTTCCTCTCACTATCTGTATGTGTCTTATTGTTAACAAACCACACTTGAGTAGTTTAATAGGAAAAGGACCACTTCTCTTAGGCTATATTCTTTCCCAAAATTACTATTCAAATTGATAATGTTTCCTCCAAGACGTTATCCAAAATTGCTCATCACTCTCCTTAGAACAAAAGTGACCTCTGACACTTTGGCCCAAATACTTATGGGCAGACTCTTAAGATTTCCTGTGTAATGTCAGTCATTGTCCAGAAGAAGCAACAGAAGAGTGGAGAGAAACTCCCTGGCAGATATACAGACTTAAAGTGGATTTCAAATGCAGGCACCCAGCCTCTTAAAATACAATCACATTTGATATGTAAAATCACATTTCAGTCATTACACGTTATTTAATTATACTTTAGGATTTTTTTAAGCTAGGAAAACATTTAGAATTTCTTATTTTTCCTAGGAAAAAATAGAAAGTCTCCCTTCTGTTCATAAAAATTTCATTCATGGAGTTTCTAAGCCTTCCAAGTTTACCATCGAAGTCAGTACAAAATCTCTATCAACCGCACGGCAGAGTCAAATGAATATTTATAGTTCTAGATCTATTTTGAGAAATCCCACGCACAGATCAATACTTCAGAGCAGCGTTGCTTCCCATCGGACACTGCCCCTGCTCCCCACGCTGTTGGTTATTAGTAGGTAAAAGACAATGAGTTGGACCAAGAGCCATCCTTAGTCCTTCCATCCTCTCCCCCACTGTGCTGTTTAACATTGGTGCCTGTTTTGCCAGGGAAATGGCAAGACAAGGGTCGTGTCTCGCGTAAAACTCCAGCCACCCTCGTGACTGAGGACTGTCCCTACCTCATGCCAGTTCCCACCAACCCCTCTTCCTCCACCACAGGATTGTGTTTTCAAAGACAGAGCATCCATTTACTATGTCTGATAGTACCTGCTTACTGTACAGAAGCCTTTATGTTATGTTAATTTTTCAAACCTGATTTCCAATTTTTTGGCATAAATTTAAGGAGCACAAGTGCAGTCTGGTCGTGTCAACTCTGTTGTGTAGGATGGTCTAAGCTTCATTGAATAATGGACTTTGTGCCAGTTAAGTAATTTTTCATCACTCATCCCCCTCCTGTCCCTCCCTCTTCCAAGTCTCCAGGGTCCATCATTCCACACACTCTGAGTCCCTGTGTGCACGTGACTTAGCTCCCACTTACAAGTGAGAACATGGCACTATTTGACTTTCTGGGTTGTTTCTCTTAAGATAATGACCTCCATATTGCTGCAAAAGACATGACTTCATTCCTTTTCTGTGGCTGACTGGTAGACCGTTGTGCATAGACTCCACATTTTCTATATCTAGGCATCCCGTGCTGGCCGCTCAGCGCGCTGCGTATCTTTGCTGTTGTAAGCAGTGCTGCAGTGAGCGTGCACATACAAGCGCAGGGGTCTTTTATTTTTTTAATTGGGGATTCATTGAGGGTACAAAGAACCAGGTTACACTGCTTGCATTTGTTAGGTAAAGCCCCTCTTATAATGGTGTCCCTCCCCCAGGAAAATGTGTCATGCACCATGACCCCCCACCCCCTTCCTTCTTTAAGCCCTCTCTCCACTCCCCCACCCCGGGTACTAGCATCAGTTGTGCACAGGTGTCTTTGGGATAAAATGATGTCTTTGCCTTCAGGTAGATACCCAGTAGTGGGATTGCTGGATTGCATGGTAACTTGGTTGATTTCTAATTTTTGACAGGTCTTATTTTTAAGAATGAACACGAGTTACCAAAGGCTGCCAAGGATTCATAGTGGAATGATTCTGGCAGTGTTGCCATAACTTGGTTTGGTTTGGTTTGCCATTTATTTCTCTGTTCATTATTATTTATCTCCATTTTATGTTCTCATTTCTCTCACCGCTCCCACTGGCAGCCACTCTAGGAGGTTTTATGTGTTGCATTTTATTTGTGTGTCTTTTTCACTTACATTTTCTTGTTGTGTGTTGACATTTATTTTCAAGTTGTATAAATGTTACAGATGTTATGCTAGAGTTTTTCTGAGAACCATGGTTTTCTTTTTAGATGTCTTCTTACTTTCCCAGGACCCAGTCCTCACAGCATTTAGTTGTTAGATCTTCTTTTCTCTCTTTGATGGAGATATAATTTACATTCTGTA